AGTCTTAGAAGGTACCACCAAAGTCTACCTACTACTAAAGCCATGCTACGAATCAGCAGCATACATATGTCATGAAGTTTGACTTCCATCTTTTTTTGTATCAGTTCACAGAATGTTTTTTGACGTTTGAGTCAAGCTGATCCTTTGCTTGAGTCATGATCTTGAGGAGTTTGAAATAATCGGTGAAGAGACACTGTTGTGTCTGGTACGATCCCTGCCTTTTAATTATCTATTTACAGAAAGGCTCAATGTGACCATGTCAATAACAACAAAGTTAGCATAGACACAACTAGCTTTAGAAGGGAAAGATGACACTCTGATTGGTTAAGCTTCCGGTTAAGAGACGACCGACTCTACCACTAGGCCACAGCCGCCTCATGAACTTCCAAAAACATAAAGACACTAAATTAGCCACTTTTCCTACTCCCAACTACTTTGTGCTTGTAAAAGGGGCTATATGCACTTGTATCATGCACCATGCACCTTTGACAATGCACCAGTATTATTGAAATAAAGCCCTAAGCATGCTCAAGAAATGGAAAAAGGCAGAAGGGAATTGTTTGAAAATGAATGAATGAATGAATGAGGGCACCTTGTGATACAAAGCACAAAAAAAACTAAAACTTTAAATTCAATTTTGGTATTTGGGTCTCTGTTAAAATGATTACAAAATATTGTTCTGCCTCAGTGTGAACACCTGCATAGGTTTAAGGGGTTGTTCAGTACATGACAACAATTATTAATTTACTCAAATGAAATCTAAGTTAAAAACCATTGAAGCAAAGCTGTCTTACAGTTCTGTTGCATCAGAGCAAACATAGACACAAGGCTGGCTGTCAAAAAAGTAAAAAGACTGGAGCTGTATTTTGGATGATTGCATATTATCCCTTTTCAGCATGGGTAATGAGTTTTACACATCATGACTTTGTTTTCTCATTATCATTACTCCTCAAGTGGAACCATGCGTACTGCATCAAGTAGTAAGTTGACGGCATTTCAACCGCATGTAGCCAGGCAAGATGATGAATGTTGCAGGTTAATCTTCTCCTTTGTTATTGGGTTATCAGGTGTGAATGTTCAAAACGTCCTTATCTGGCTGAACAGAACTGCCACAGGCATCTCGCTTCTGGCACTACTGCCTTCTACTGTCGTCTCCATGGCTTTATCTCCATCCAACTTTAACTCACTCTACCTCCTCCACTCCCGCCCTCCTATCTTTTTCCTCACCCCAGTGGTTTTAATACCATGGAGGCTCTTTGGATAAAAAAGACAGATTGGTGGCGTTGTCAAGCATACTGTGTTCATTGTTTCCTGAAGAGGAGAGAGCAGTGTCCTGTCTTCTCTCTTTGCACATCTGCCTGGGAACATCTGGATAGTGTCAGCCTTTCAACATTAAGCAGAGCAAGCATCATTCTTTCCCCTGTCTGACACATCTCATCTCCTCCCTGTCAAAAAGAAAGAGACAACACAGATCTCCCAAATTTAAATCACACAACAAATCAAATCGGAAACAAAGTGCTTTATTAGATCTGGCTACAGGAAAAAGGAGGAGGAAGGGATTAAAAACAGAGACTGTGGTGGTTTAGTTGGAAGCTGGTTAACATATGTGGTAGGGTGTGTAGACAACGTGTAGCAGATCCAGTGTGAAAGTGAAAGATGTTGTAAAATGAATAATGTCACAATCATACAGTAATCACATGAAAGGTTACTATGGACAGTTCTGCAAACGAATGAACTGTTTACACCAATATCAACATTTTAACATTTAATTATTCAATGTGCAAAGAGCAACTATGGTGATAGATGTTCATAAAAGGCAAAGATTATGGGTATGGCAACTAAAGTACAGTTAACTTCAGGAACCTAAAAGCAGTTGCATGAGGAAAGTTAGAACTGAAGCACCACATTTATCTGTACACCAAAGGAAGCTTTTTGGAAGGCCTTGAATGCAATTATGTAAAAACATACAAATATAAACAATTTTAAAGTGATTGAAACTAAATTTCAATCTAATGTAAAGTTCAATTTTTTTTCTACATAATGTATTTAAAAATTTCACATTTTTTAATAAATCTTTCTATTTCTATTTCCCTGTAAAAATCGTTCCTCTAGTATTGTTGATTTTGTCCAACACAACGGCCAAGCATCATAACAACAACAACAACAACAATGCTACTAATAATAATAATAACGATGATCGTCATCATCATCATCGTAATCACCCTCATAATAACAATAATAAGAATAAGAATAATACAAATTCAATAAAAAAAAAACCCCATGATTTTCAGGTACTCAAAGACCCTATAAATTAGTCAAAAGTTAAAAAGATTAAAAACGGCATTCTACAGTAGGAACAAACACACATGGCAACATTAGACAAGGTCTTGTAATCAGCAACATGTTCAAAACATACAGTATAAAAACACAGCATAATCACACAAAAGCTTTTTAAAAAGGTGAGTCTTGAGCGATCATTTGAATGTGGATTGGTCAGTGCATTCTTGAACATGTTTTAGGAGTGAGTTCCAGAAGGAGGGAGCAGTTATGGAGAGGGCTCTGCCACCCCTCCACCCTCACCCCCCTATGTCCGCTGCTCTGTTCTGGATGGTGGAGACAAGAGGTTGGCATCAGAAGAACAGAGGTTAAGAGAAGGAGTGTGACAGTGGAGGAGGTCCGCGAGGTAGGAGGGGGCCTGGTTGTGGAGGGCTTTGTGAATGAGGTGAAGGATTTTTCAGGACAGGGTAGAGGTGGTAACAGGAGTGGGTGAGCAGGGGCCTGTTTCTGAAAGAAGGTTCAACAAACCCTCAGTCTAACCTTGAGCTATGAGTTGATTTACTCTCAGGTGGGAAACTCTGGGTTTTCAGTTCCGGATCAGCAGATTTCAATTTGTTAAATCAACTCTGAGTAGGTCCACTCGGTGTTCAGTGCGTGCACCATGACGATTCACCATGGCAACAGGTGACAAAAAAGAGATCCTCATACTTTAACCATCTCAAAATATATCAATATCTTCACGTGGCCATAGGCTACGGCGAATATGAACAGGTTTTAAGAAGGATAAAAAAAAGTATCACTGCTGCAAAGCGCAGCGGCAAAGGAGAGAAAAGTGGTGTAAGAGAAAACAGCTGCTCGCGTCAGCACGTAAAGTCTATTAATTTAATATTTAATCAGAATTAGGCTATAATAGACTATTGCAGGTCAAAACTGGTGGAATGGTAGCCTATTAAACCTATACAATTTATTTTCATTAAGATGCAATCCAGCAGAAGAAAAGCGACTTTAAAACAGCTCAAAATGAAATATAAGAACATAATAGGCTCATATTGATTTAAAGTTAACTTCATTTAGAGTCTATTTGAATGTGCATTAACTTTATCCCCAACATAATGCTGTATTCACACACACAGGCTAAATGTCCTCTCACCTTTATCCCGTTTAGTTTATGAATTAACCCTAATTAAATGAACGTCTCCCGATGTTAATGTAGGCTCTAATTCCCTATGGAGTAATGCAACCCCTTCATACCGACTAAAAGACGCCATGTTCGATAAAATAGTTCATCTTATAGGCTGTAGTATTGCCTACCTTACATAACATATTAAGACAACCTGGATTTTTATTTAGACAACCGGTGAATCTTCACTCTTCACGCGCGTGATACAGACTGAATGAAAGAATGAAGAAATGAAATGACGATTCTGGCTCTGAAAGAGGGAGGAGACCTAGAGAAACTCGGGGTTCATTCAAGAAAACCTGCGCCCGACCAGATTCACAGTTCTCAGAGCTAAAGTAACTCCCCCTCTGAAACGGTCTGGAGTTACCCCTCTTTCTCGGGTTTGAGTGACCTCCTCTTCTGAAACGGAATACCTGACTCAGAGTTTGCACAAAACCTTCTTTCAGAAACAGGCCCTAGATGTGCAGGACGGTTTAGGATGTATTGTAGCGTTTATTTAGGATTTTGGATGATGTGCTTTAAGGATGCTGTAGAATCTGTATGTATTAAAGACATGGATGAATGTTTCAGAAGGAGAGGTGGACGAAGGCAGTTCTTGTGAGTTCTCTGTCATAAATGACTCCATGATTGTGGATAAATGGGGAGAGTGATAAGCCGGAGTTATCAATGGTGAGACTGATGTTGTGAGAGGTTTTAGTAAGGTGATGAATGATGATGAAGCTGATTTCTTCGCAATTTGTGAGAATCATTTAAAATTTTTGAAGATGAAAATGAATGTGTTTATACTTTATGTTAATAAAGGCCTTATGGCTTATTGTTTTACATTCAAGCATAAATATAAACTTTTTACAATAATCAATGTTTTCTGATTGTCAAAGGGAGGCATCAGTAGTTATTTCAGTCTGTTCCATAAAAAAATTAAAAATTAAAAGAGCTTCAATTTAATTTCAAATTAAAGTTATGTTTGTGTCCTGATATTATCTTATTTCTTAAATAAAATAACTTATAATTGTCTAGAAAACTTTATTCACACTGTTTCTTCAGGCACCATGCTAAACTTGCTAAACTTGACGAATATTGCTTGTACTAATATTTGTTTCTAAATTATGCAATTATTCACATTTCATAATATGTTTTTTCTTATCAATTTGAATGATTTACTGTAAATACATTTTCATCTTGCACCATCTGACTCTTAGTGTTATGCATGGAAATCAGATGTACATATAATCATGTTCTACGAAAATTTGGAGATTTTAAGAGTTGGCTACAAATGTGCTTTCATGGACTTCTTGGTTCATGTTGATTGACATTTGAACTGCATGATTAGAAACATTTGTCAGGTAGATGATTGCTGGCTTTCATTGTAAGGACAGCATGTGCCAAAAGATAGATATATGGAGAGTGAAATTAAAAGAAAAAAGAAAAGAATTTGAGCGTTTCACATCCGGTTGTGATCTTTAAACATTTGGGAATAAACCTGAAGCAAAAGAAAAAGTCACATTGCAAAGTCATATTTAAAATAAAAACACAGGACCCAATCAATCATCATCCATTTTTTGGAAAATATTTTGCCAATATTTATTATAAAAATATAAATGTTTCCACTACAAATCATTTTACATTAGTAGACAAGGCCATCTACGTTTGCACACGTAAACTCTCACACAGACACACGGGTCAGTCTTGAGACAGAAAAGGGTGCATAACCGTATTGCTCGCTCCGATGTCCCAGGTTTAAAAAGTAAGTCAAAAACCAAAACACAGATAGCACTGACACATAATTTACTGTATGCTACAAAAAAAAAACATCAACATTGCGCTGTATAATGTTAAACAAATAAATAATGATGTCAAACTTGTCTTTTTATTGTAGAAAAAAAACAAAAACAAAGCAGACACATATAATTCAAAATCAGATAAAATATAATACAGATGATTTTTGTCTCTTTTTTAATTAAAAATGTTGCACAATTTTTTATTTATTCTTTTATACATACAAACATTTGTACAAAGAAGGATGGCCATGTACATATAGTGGGATCTGTAGTGCTAGTTGCTATCATTATGATGGTTTACAGTATGTACACGCTAATTGGAACACATAGCAGCAACAGCAGCATCCACAGGTAGACCGATTAACAGAGGAGCGACTGACACACTGAACAGGGCTGGGATTCCCAAAAGCATCACCACTGTCCATTAGATTCACCTTCATCCATGGCAATAACAGTTCCATTCAAAGTGCTCAAATATTTTGTACCACAGTAAGTGCTGGGGAGAAGCTTGGAGATACCTTCAGGGTTAAAATGACCCAACCAACAGCACCAAAGTACCAAAGTGCCAGTTTAGAAATACTGGATAAATGTTGCGCTGAGGGTTAGACTGGGTGACATCAAAGCACGGGACAAACATCTGTTGGTTTGTACTTACTGGTACAAAGATCATCAGTGTTCTAAGGTGTCTTTAGGAAATCCCATCCTGGACGTACAGTATGATGAACAAGGATAACAATCTGGAAAGTTATCATTTATCAAAAGTGTTGCATCTTTCTCAGGGCATGTTCACACCTTGCTAGTTCAGGGCAGTAATGAAAAAAACCCCATGCTCCTATGACAACACAGGACGACGACCATGACTTTACTTTAATAAAACTGGACCTTTTTGCTTGAGGATCTTGCCATGATCCAAACCATCTCCGGGAGGCACTCTACATTTTGCATCAAACATACCAGGATTTAAAGATAAAGAATTAATTTAATACTAAAACAAAGATAGTTATTTTATTAAATGTATGCTTTTGTTAATAAGTTATGGTTTGGCGAAAGCAAAGAGACTAAGACATCCTCACATCAGCTGTGTTGATCTCAACCTTCTTCACTAATGGTACGCTGTAGACAAATCCATAAAACTCTTAGAAAGACAATGATACCTGATGTTTTCTTGGGTCGATTAAACTGTCCTAACTAAGGAAGAAACTCGAGAACAAACTTGCTTCTACTTTAAAATACAAAACAAAGAAGAGGTACGCATGACACCACTTTGTCTCATTCAAGTTCTCTTTTGCCTTTTATGAATGTCTCTCTAACAGTTCCACCATTTTTTGTACTCTTAAGCTGCACGCTCAAATCATGACTCTCCTTCATTCTCTCTTTCTGTTTCCTATTGTAAGAAGAAATAATGTATACATCCTGAGATTTCACACAAAGGGCCTTGGGTTGAGGACATAACCGAACTATACAACATCAGATCATAAGCCAACAGAACATAGATGTCACCATAAAGAAAAGTATATGTGTGATGTGAGTTATGGCCCCTGGACCTTCAGAGCACAGCGTTCGATACATTGTACATGTGACAGACTCACGGCTTCCACACAATGAGACGATTTAACAGAATATCATGATTATTGCTTTTATGTGACATGTCTACTGAATGCAAATGCTATAGGTTAGAGCTACAGAGTTAAATGGCTCGGTTGTCATCTTGGTGTGTCTGTAGAGACAGCAAATGTAGGTAGTTTCAACAAAATCTCGCACCTCAGACCTCATAAAGTCCAGGAAGGGTCCACACCCGAGTGAGGTACTGCTATGTCCCATGCTCTACCTGCAAGGCATCTCAGCCATTTCACCTTCTTGTTTCGCAGGCTGCTAATCGGGCGTGATGGGTGGAGACTGTGAGCATGCCCATCCCTTTTTAGCCGTAAAGGGAAAGCTAAGCTTTCCTGCTAAGCTCATTTTGGAGAGCTCCGGCTGTTTGTTAGTCCAGTTTTTGCCTTGTATCACAGTCCAGTCCTATGTAGTATCGCTGGTAAGGTTTATCAGACCTCCTTGGACTTCCACTGCTTTTCCAACCCTCCTCTATGTCTGTAAGGCATCTCAACGTGGGCATGGAGGGATGGAGGGTGGAAGAGTCCGGCATTTCACCAGCTGGCAGGTCTGCACTGAACACTTCCTGTTTTCCTGTCAGGACTTGATATGGTCTTTCATCAAAACGTTGACAGCCCTCATTTAAACCATTTCATGTTTTCCATCCGTTTCCTGTTTACAAATGAAGCCACAGTGTTAGGCTGTGATTGGCAACCACACCAATAGACAGGTCTCTGGTGTTTTTTTATTTGTTGGGTTCCTTTTTCTAAACAGGTACTGGGCCATTCTTAGTGTGAGAATCAAGGGCTTTGAGGCTGCTCACGATCTTCTTCTGCGGTGCTACGATAGTCACTCCAACCTTTTTCAGATCCCTGGTTGGTGAAGGAAAGGGGGAGAAACAAGAAAAGATTGGAAGAAAAAAGATTGAAAGTGTGTGTTAGAGATGAAGGATATGACACCCGGGTTCTAACAACATGCATCCAGCACTGCTCCCTGCACTTTCCAATGCAACTGTCATTCACAAAGGACTGCATTTCCCAGAAGGCCATGGGCTGCCACATCTTTGAAGGAGGTCTATTGGGGGCTGTTGCCTCCACTCCCCATCACTAACTAACAGGAGGGTGGGCCTATGGGGCAACACTGACAGCTGCGATTACGACCCTGTCAGTTGGGAAACAATGTTAAAGCCACAGTGGCACAAAAGACCTACTTTCTTGAATTGCATTATGCTGGATTCATTTGACAGGGCAGGTATAACTATGTGGAGAGGAGCAGCACTGGTACACTTGCAGGATATCACATTGTGAAACAGAGTCATCCTTTGACTTCTTATTTCAGTGAGAAGCTGTTTTAAGATTAGTTACATGCATTCAAGTGTAGGAAAATACAGTTGGTTTAGAAGACTAATGATCAAATCATTTAGAGGTCGAGAGGCAGCTCTGTATGTGTTATTCATTTTCACATCAAATTCACACAGAAGTTAGTCAGCTCTATTGAAACATTAAATTCTTTAGAAAACATACACAACAGCAACTTCAATATACAAGTATACATACTTTGATTGCTTGAATAAAATTACAACAAATGTATGTTAAGTCCCATCTCTTCTGCTAGTCATTATAACGATTGTGTTGTATTAGTAGAAGCAGGAGTTGTAGTCACAGTGCTGTTGTTACTAAGACAAACAGTTTCAGCCATTGAAACATTTAGGTGTTATTCAAAATTGTAACACAAACATTTAGTAAATTCAGTTGCAAGCAGAACTTTAAGTTTTCCTCCAAAGCAGCTGAAGAAGCCAAAGTTCAAAACATTCTGAGGTATCAGAAAGTGGAAAAAGTCATCATGTTTCTTCACTACCTGCTACCATGTAAAGGGATAGTTATCTGGAATTTAGTAATTGTTGAAAAGCAATAATTATGTTGCAAGAACCGTAGCCCTACATTTGACACTTGTTATACCCATCCAGCTTACTTTGAGGTTTTTCAAATTTCTAATGTTGTCAGGGCACTAATAAATATAAGCATTGTTTTCCAGACATTATAACAGTATTATGGCATTTGCCTGTGGTAAATTCTTCTAAAATTCCAACTGTCTGACAGTGTAGTTTAATTTGTAGTTACCGATTACAACAGGATCGAAACAAAGCTTATGAGTCACTAAATTCAGCTTACTATCCCTTTAAAAGTCAGACAAGTGAGAGCCCATCAATGCTTCTTGAAGTGCGGTACTGATCCCAGACAGGCCTAGGTCTTATCCTCTAACCCACCATCCAGAGCCTGGGGAGGAGGAGCCAGGTGTTAGAGAGTGGTGATTCCCATGGACGGCTCCCATTCTGGGCAAGTGGCCGGCGTGACATGGACCTCCGTCAGAACCACTCTACTGAGAGACAGCCAGGCCCAGCAACATTAACATTTTGTCATAAAAAAATGTGCTCTGTCTAGAACGACATCATCAAACATCTGCGTTACAACCAGGAAGGACAACATTTTCTCAACTTTATGTACCGGAGATAAAACCTTTTTTATTTGTGAACAATTAACCAAAACTTTGTCCCTATACTGAGTGGTCACCAGTTGACACATATTTTTTTAAAATACAATTGCAAAACACATTCAACAACTGTATCTTAAAATACATGGTGTTATTCTAAAACATGAATCTACACATTTCTCAAAACTACAAAATAAAAGACACATACATATGAACAAACATATAAAAAGATAAACAGCTTAAAGTATTTCATAGTTAACAGACATCCCCATCATTGCACAGTGAATACACTACATGGTATTTTTTGTTTGGTGTTTATTAGGGGAACTTGTGAGACCAACTGAATCATCAGCTAAATTATACATATAAATTCACATTGACACAGGTTAGTTTCTCCTCTGTTGTGTCACATTTTAAGTTGTTTGAGAGACAGTAGATGCCCTGTAAGGTTAAGGATATAAAAGTGCTTTTCAACTTATTCCAGTCGAGGTTAGTCGGCTCTAATTGACAGAGGAGCACAATACCTGTGAATACACTTTAGATTGTACAAGATAATGCCAGTGTTTTTTTTCCACTTTAAATTGCTTTCCTTTTGATTAGCAGGTCAAGTTCATCACCACCTTAATCAAATACATACAATGAACTTTGCATGCACTCGCTTTAGATGAAGAAAATAGACCAAGTGATGCTGCATTTCCTAGTCAATCTATTCTCTCCCGGCTTGAAAAAGGACTTCAATTACTCGAGCAGATGAGTCAGCACACTGCAGCCAAGTATGATTACTGTTCCTCGGAGGTCAAAGCACCGCCAAGCCTTGTGCTGAATATCAAGGACTAGATTAAGACTGTACAAATCAATAGAGAAATCTATATAGAGCAATGCATGGTCTTAGCCAAGGCTGCTTGCTGTGTAGCTGAGTTAGCCTTAGATGCCTTAGCCTATAAGACTTCAGTGGATTAATACTGCAGTGATCCAATTTAGTATCCGCCTACAGAAAATAATGGACCAATATGATTTCTGTAGGCACGGTTTTTCCACTGCTGCTCATTTGTAATGCACTTTGTCCATTTTCTAAGATGTCCATCTATCTGCAGTGGAAGCATTGAGCTTATTAATGTGTGGACAATGAAGAACTTTTTAATGACTGATACATCCCAAGAGAAATATATATTTTGTGTAAAAGCCTTTCAAACAGCAAATACAATGGAGCTACAACAAAGGAAATGAGCTGAGAATGCAAAATGTGGCTAAGAAATCAAATTTAATAGTCTAATTATCATTATCAAAAACAGTTTCTTCCCCAGCAGTGAGCCAGCACTCTTTTCAGAGAGTGCACTTTCACTCATGTTCTTGTTGTTATTATTGCAGAAAAGCATAAATTTGCAGTTTCCTTAAAGGAGCCCTAAAAAGTTTCTCAAAATTCAAGTTTGAATATAGTTTACGAGTCACCAGATTTTACAGAATCCAAGAAATTGCTTCAGGGAAAAGTTTAAACCACATATTTATTTTATCTTCACGGCCCCTATTTGTCAACTTCATTCCAATATTCATCATTACTTAAAAGGATGTTACAGTCAACTTTTTTTTTTCCAAACATAACTAGCCAATTACTTTAGAAGACTGTTATTTTGCTAAGTTAGAGACAGAGGTTTGAGCTGGCAGCAGCATTGACCACCGCTCTCCAACAGGCCATCAGTTCAGTTAATGCCTACTTTGATCACAATGATTACAACTGTCCAATTATTTACGCAGTCACATTCCACATCAATTAAACCAGCAGCGGGCCAACAAAGACGGTGAGAAAGGCAGGCTAAAGGGTAAGAAGAGAAGTAGAACCTGTACTCGGACACTAACAAAACATACAGAAAACATCAAATATATATTTAAAAAACATGTCAGCTGGTTTGTTTAAAGTCTTGAGTAACTTCACTCTGAACTTTCAAAATAAGAGGCATTTTAGTTATTTACTTGTGCTTAGGGTTCATAAGTTCTAAGTACAGAACTATGATATCATTCTCTACTGCAAACTGTCATTTATCCAAGGCCATGATTGGCTTCATTATTTGTTGTGTAACAAATATCTTGATTTTAATTAACTTTTTAGCACTTCACAAAACTTAGAAATGTATATGCCAGAATACATTCACTGTTGGCATTATTCACAACCAGGATGTATAAGTATAAAGTCAGTATTTACTTTATACAACCAAAAACTCTAAGTGGCATTAGATTCCCTCGAAAAAGATAATCTTCAGTGTTAAAAGACGAGACACTGTTATTCATTATGGCCAGTGTTAAAAACCTCAGCGTGTGCACTCCACATGGAATTCCTCAAGATCTGGCTTCAAAATACATTTTTAACAATTTTTTCTTCATCTTTGCTTTGAATTTGAATGCTTTGCAGTAAAAAGAGGGCCATGCATACCTATTTGACAGCGATGCCTTTATTTGCTCCTTCAAAGGCCCCTCTCTATACCCTTTTATCCCATCAAATCTCCCCTCTCATGCCCTCCTTCAATGCTCTCTCTTTCATTCCCTTTCTAGTTTGGAAGATATTTATCTCTTTCTTTTAATGCTCGCACCTTCTCCCTCTGTACTTACTTGCAGCATTGACAGCGTGGCTAAAGGCCTGTCATCATGAATTACCATGACTCTCACTTGGACACCTTTAGTAAGGACTCTATAGCTCTCTTTACTTACTCTGAACAAGTGTATGTGTGTGTGGCAATTCCTGGGCTTGCCACGGGTTTTTGGGACCCTGTAAACACTACTGACATGAATAGGCAGAGTATCCCGATGAGTGTGTATGTGTGTGGTTGTCTTACTCTGTTGAGGTCTTGGCCAGGGTGTCACAGGAGCTGTAGCTGACCCCAGAGAAGGCCTCTTTGCAGGGTAAGGTCCTCATTCCATCCATCCAGTCACCCATCGTCCCCATTGAGGGAACCTCTGAGCTGCTCCTGTCCAACAACAAGTTTGCTGGCCTGAAAGGCAGAAAGGACACACACACACACAGAGAGTAAAGATTTAATAAGTAAAATTTAACATACAATACATTTCCTTGGGTTTGACGTGTAACTTTTTCAAATTAAAGAAACTGTGTTCATGGTTTCAGGATTAAAAACAGGCATGAACTCCACCCAAATCACCAGTTTCAAAGGATAATTCAATTATAAACTGGTCTATTTGAAAAGCTCTTTCCACACATCTTTTCTCTAATGCAGTTCAGTGCTTCTCTCTTGTCGATCACTTCTAGCTGAATTAATCTATGACGTGAATACAAAGTTTGTGTTTGGCATGATAGCTCTGATCTTGTAACTCCCCATAAGCATACAGTATGTCAAGTCAGAGCAGTTTGAAATAGGGATTGACAATGGGAAACTTCTTAGAACCAACAGGTGGACGCTATAAGCAGCAAAATAAATAGCAGATGTTTGCAGCATTGTTGCAAGACTATTACATTGGGTCCAACTCTGCCAATGTAGCAAATCTTTGGCAGAGTTGCAAAGTTGCAGCTGCCTTCCAATATGTTGCAGACATGAAAGTATTTAAGGGCGATATTATCCATGCCATCCCTCATCTATACTGCTTATCCTGTAAAGAGTTCCAGGGCTGGAACTGATCTCAGCTGTCATTGGGTGAAAGGCGACGTACACCCTGGACATGTCAATTACAGGCTTACATGAAGAGATAAACAAGCAATCACTCCTAACAACCAATAATTGATGCCTTTGGCCTGCAGTGGAGAGAGCTGATGAAGTCACACATGCAAAGGGAGACGTGCATATTTCACACAGAAAGGCCAATGCAGGGATCGAACCAGGAACCTTTTTGCTAACAACAACAGTGCTGTCCATACATGACAACCTTTACTGAAAAATTGCCATGCAGACGGTGCCCTGTTCAGTGGCTGATTAATAACTCTGCATAGCACAGCCCCTAACCTCCAAACTTTACCATGTCTATCCTACAGCCATGGTTTCTTTTCAAGTTTTATGAGCAGACCTTTCCACATCTAGTTGCTGTCATTAGAGTCTATTGAACCTGACCGTATAATTATAGATGTATAATGAATTGTACATCTATAATTTCTGTGCCTGCATACCTATACATAGCTAAACATAAACCAGAGCTACACACACACATCCACGCACATACACGTACACACACTGGCCTTGTGTGTCTGTTACATACAGTAAACATGCTCAATGCCTTCGGGATTTAAATACAGGGGGGAAATCAAACTGTCCAACAAACTATGTCCATAATGTATTTAACATATTCAGAACAAGATTACTTACAAAATCACAATCAGTTTCTGTCTTATGTCATTACAGTTTCTGGTTGAACATGTACCATGTGGCAGATTTCAACACTGGATTTGATTAGACCTGATGGTTTCAATTGGATCAAATCAAATCAACTGCACTGCATTGGGCTTTAGAGTGCTCAGTCAACAGTAGAGGGTGAAGGAAAGGCTGCAGGCACTGTTCTGACTCGATAATTCAGGAAAAGAGTGGAAAGAAGAGGGATGAGAGAGGAGGACAGACATACAGAGAGGAACAGAGAGGAGACTGGAGGGGAAGCAAAAGATGACAAAGAAAAGCTATTTCCTTTATCCGCGTCTAATCTTTGATGTCATTACTGATGCTGTTTTGTACAAATGTGTTCCTATTTGCTGTTGTGAAATCTGATCACGTCAATGCAGGAAATGGGAAAACCAGGTCAAACCACCTCAGGTCAAACTGGAGCTCAAAACAAACCGACCAATCAAACAATAGCCAAATAATGGATTAATTAGAGCTGTCTGTGAGTTTATAGCCCAGTGTAAGAGTGGCATTTAAAGCTGGATATCAAAGACACTCTTTTTAATTAGGACACGCTGCATCTGTCCTTAAGAATAGACAAAGGCACCTGCGTCAGCCCTGCACAAACAAACACACAAAATACACTACACACATGCACAGAAGGGAAATAAAGCCTTGCAAACAAGCTAGTACAGGGCTGAAAAAAAAGGTAGTTCTCCCTCAGGGAAAACTATTCATAGCCTTGTAAATAAACTCATTAGAATACCAGGAAGTCCACCTCCGCCTGGCTGATTTAGATTGGCAGGGGGAGGTTTGGAACTGCTCCGTGTGTTTTTGTGTGTGAGAATGTGGGAAAATTGCCCTAAGGTAGGCTAACTTTAAGGAATATGGTAGGTATCAGGCATGGTGAAATATAAACAGTTTGTCATTTTCCCATATTTTACTTCATAACCATCATGTTGAACTTAATAATGTATCCATTTTTGCATTTTTTTTAGTTTGGACAGTGCAGGGCCGCCTTCTTTGAGGACTTTTTGCCTATGTACATGAGGTGGAACCTAAAAAAAGGCCACCAGCACCCCTTTATTGTATACTTTTTGATGTTGAAAATGTTTTACTGGTAACTAGTTTAAGTCATTTTCTGTTGTTTTTTCACCTTTGATAATAAGATTTACATGTATTGCATAGTACACTAAACTAAACAGTCTCTGTACGCTTCAAGCGACATGTTTTCATTCATGGAAGTGAAACACGATTTGATTTTTTTTTTTACAATAGTATATCATCAAGTTGTCATTAAGCAATCTTACAAAAACAACAAAAAAATAACACACTTAGCCATCAAAGGGAAAAGAAAAGCGAGATGACAGCTCAACTTGAGACAGGAAAAAGGGAGAACAAAAAGATGCGTTTGAAGGAGTGGAGTGGGTGTTGTTACAATGATTGAGTCTTTTCCTGCCAGATCAGAGGCCTGTCAAAATGCGGAGGGCCCCCCAGGACCCCCTGGAGAGACTGGTTTGTTGGAAAATGAGGGGATATGTGGAGACGGTTTGCATACAGGACAAAAAAAAAAGTGTGAATCTCCTTGAGAGGAAGGTTGAAAACGTTTCAAGGGGAAAGAACGCTTAGGCAGCAATTATCGGAACATTTTATTCTTTTTATCCATCAGGAAGGAATGATTGCAATGGTAAAGCCTTTTTTTTTTTTTTTACCAGAATAAGACGGTTAAGATTTCTTTTTTTCAGTTTTATTGATCCTCTCCTCCCCTGTACCCCCTTTTTCTATTTTTCTCGTCTGATCTCATCTCCCCTTTATCCTCTGCGTTCTTTCCCCTTCTCCTCTCCTGTGAGAGGTAAACTCCAAATGACCTTGTTTCCTCTCCAATATCAATTTCTTTTTTTTTCATTTTGTTGTTACATGTTCAGCAACATCTCACGGCAGCTCAAGAGAGAAGATGATTGGAGGGGAAACAGAGGCATGAGATGATGGGGAATATAGAGGGGAAATATCACATCTGTATGATGACAGAGGAAGGCTGAAACCCCCTTGTGGACTAAACACTATATAAGAAAGCAGAAAAAAACATACTCAAACAGAAGGATGTATAAATCCACCACAGAGGGAACATAAAGTCTTACCCCCTTCACATATTCATTTCCCTTCCCCTTTTCTGCTCTCTCTCTTTCATTCTTCTGACCTCTAAATAACCAGGGCTGTGTAGTCTCTTGTTTTTAAAGCTCTCAGGGGTGGAGAGAGGTGAGTGAGGAAGAGATAGAGATATTTTTAACCAATATTTAGACCCAATGTTATGCCTCTCAATTGCTGTTTTTCATATTAGGCGATTTGTATCATCTGCCTCTGTTGAGTGTGATGGATACCATGTAGGTTTAATCAATACTGCTCAGGTGGTCTGAGGGAAGCTATTAACCTAAATGACTCAGGTGTGACATTTTGATTAGATTCCAGTGAGGCATGCAGTTTTCTTTTCTGTGAAGTAGCCAGATTGTTAGTTAAGTGCTTTGGATGTCTTAATAAAGAGAGCTCTCAAACTTTGTTTTTACATTTTTTACAAGCCTATATTTGAATATATACAATATAAAGAAACCACATATTGACGTTTAAATAGTTTTATGTAAAGGCATTGGTCTTTAATGCACTTAATCAACATTGCCTTGTACCAATCTTGGATCCTCTCTCTTGTTTCTGTCAACTTCTCAATCAGCTGAGTTTACACATTTTGACATCTTCATTGATTAATTTTAGGTAATGGTTGACCTATTAATTGACTTTCAATTTTGACCTCAACAGAGTAAGACAACCACACACACTCATCTTTTCATTTATCTATTTTACTTGGCTAAATTTGTTTTATTCAACAAATCAACCAAACTTATCTTATTGGCCAAGACCAAACATGTCCAATGGTCCCAAACCCCAGTCCTAGTTCTAGTTTACTCTTGATTCATTTGTTAACGCAGATTCACAAATACTTGTCTTTATATATTTTGCCCTTTAAGTCTTATTCAGATGAACTAGAAACCTACGACTACCTACAGTATTTCTTATGTAGGTTCAAAGTTATACTTTGGCATTACCCTTCACAATGACATTCCATTGCAGCATGGTAACAAAGCTTTGCTGTCACTCTGCCTTTGCATTTTGTTTGAACTGAGCAATACCATAATAAAGGTGTCCATTATTGATTTGACATAATATGACAGATTTGCAGTAGCACTACAGGTACTTAGACAGCGCCCAGTTGTCATACCTGGGGACATACACATATGCATGGTTCAGCACTCTGGCTCCGATCTTCACAGTGACACTCGCCCTACAGTGTTGTTATGAGGTTTCAACGTCATTGTACTTTTGTACTTACACCTTGCATTTGTAATGATGTAATGTTGGTGTTGAGTGTGCCTTCACATTTTGTTACTGCATTGCGAAACGGCAAGAGGCATGGTGTGTAGACATGCGGAGGGAGCTTCACAAACACACAATATGGCATTCCCACACAAACAGTGCTTTTGTGTCCTGCCAGTTCCAGGTACAAAATGCCACCCTCTCCCCCCAAAAACACCTCTATTGCTAGGAGCGATGGCTGATCAGTGATGGACCGTCTTCGCCCCACCTTTCTCCCTTCTGCGTAACACATTTTAGAAAGATGTGGCATTAACTGGCATTAGGAATTTATCGACGGGCGTAGAAGTCCCTTAATGAACAGATAATGCTGTAGGGGCAATCAACGGACTTTGATGTCATTATGAAAAGGAGTACTGGTAGAATATAAACGGTTGGAATCCTCACCATGTTTTGCGGAGCAGAAAGAAACACTTTGATCTCATAATGTTTTAGACACCCTGTAAAACCAATCAGAAAGACAGTGGTCTCGAACCCCGACCGGGCTCCTGTTAGCCCATAATTAGTCTCTGACAGCCCACCTTGGCCTACAGACCCCAGTCCTTTCCCATCCTCATGCAGGGACAATAAACTCTGACCAGGTCCCCCCTCTGAAGCCTCCAGATGCTCGACTCCAGTCCCGAGCTTTGGTCTGGGCTTGTGAAGGAGGGAGTACTCCATTAGCCAGCCAGGACAGCCAGCAGACAAACGAGGTGTGTGAAGCTGAGTGCAGCTGCTCCCGCTGTGCAACTGCCACCAACACCATACACACAAAGGCACAAAACACACACATACACACCGTTCTCATAAATCACCACAGCCGCCTGTGCTCACCCAGCCTGTGCTCGCCCAGTGTTAAAAGCCAATCAGGGAAATTACATGCAAACTCCAAGGGACCTATTTTCACTTTCTCAAGAAATCATTAGTCAGTGTTATGAGCTCTGACGTCTCCATAATACCACGGCTGTCTGCCGCACACCCGAAGCCTGCCCCCCACCCTTGTAGGGGCTGCAGTGGTTCCCCACAACCCCCTGGGACAGAATGGTCGTCCAAACAAAGACGCATGGCATGAGGGAAGGGAGATGGGAGGGAAAGAGCATCATAAGATCAAGGGGAAATACAAAACGGCATTAGACTTCATGGGAATGAAAAAGATAAAAAATATGGATCTAAATTGTTTAGGGGTAAATATATGGGAGGTGTCAAAGGCTGTGCTAAATTTCATGTAACACCCTGTGAACACAGGAAGCAGGAAGGCAATATTTACGACAAACCCTGGTACTACATGGTTCCAAAAACAAACAGACATGCACCAAGGGAGAAGAACATTTGACTTGAATGCAAAACCTGCTGCTCTTTCCAACCATTGACATGTGATTACAAAATTGAGCTGCAGTAAACCTTTATGTTGTGTAAGTAAAATAGAAAGATCTTTAGGGTTTGAATGTTTTGAGTGAGTGAGGCTGGAGAAAAACCAACAACTGGTAAAGCTATGCACAATCAAGAATGCATTTGCCTCTTACATTCTAGGCATATCCTTTAACTGGATGGAAGCCCCTTCAGGTTTATTAGCCTTTAGCAGTATGCCATCTGTATGCACAAGAATAAATAAAAGTGTGATATGTTACAGTACCTTGATGTTGTGTTGGCTGTGATTTTGAGGCTACCAGGGTTGCGGATAAGTTTATCCAAGATGCTGACTATTTGTTCAAACTTCGGCCGATTGTTCCGCTCTTTCTGCCAGCAGTCCAACATCAGCTGGTAGAGGGTGGCAGGGCAGTCCATGGGCGGGGGGAGACGGTACCCCTCATCTACAGCTTTTATTACCTAGATGTAGAATGGAAAAGATTTAAGAAATGACAGATGGGGTATCAATGGTGGGAAATACTATGAACAAATTGGTATAATACACCATGGGTTTGGATACTAGATGTTTGTTTCAGTGCTGTGTGTTGCAAAACCCTGTAGGATACAAAAACGGTTCCTAATTCACTGAATGATGTTCCTAATAAAGTCATTTAAATTATGCTGCAGGGAACTTTTTTGGAGCGAATTAAAGCACCAAACCCTTTTAGACTGATACCAAACAACAGCCTCAGAATCTGGTTGTTGGGCAGCAACATACATTGCAAATGTTTTGTCTTGAAAATGTCAATGTTTGAATATAGCTAGCATTACATTTTTAACTCCAGTTGACATTTATGTGAATATGATATTTCTATCAAAAATACTCTATTGCTATTTTACTCTAATGGTCCAAAAGCCTCTTTAAAAGAATCTGATTATGAACCAAACGTCTGAATCAGTGGGAGATGCTGATGCCTCCACTTTGTTCCCATCAGTAAAACGTTGCAAACAGACTTCACTGCAGTAATGTCTGCTACACAGACAGCCTTTTTTAATGAACATTTAATTAACATCATGGTACTTACATCCTGATTGGACATCTCCCAGTATGGCCGTTCCCCATATGACATCACTTCCCAGAGTACAATGCCATAACTCCACGCATCACTGGCTGATGTAAACTTCCTGTAGGCGATAGCCTCTGGAGCTGTCCACCGGATGGGGATCTTACCTCCCTGAGAAAAAAACAGAATGAGGCGACATCTACGTGTTAATGACAGCTATGGTTACAATATTTGTGCATGAACAAAATCTCAAGGTTAAACTCCATTATAAAGTTCTAAACAGCCTTTAAGGCCAGTGGGTTCTGTGGTTTGATGTGAGCGATGTGATCTGATCCTCAGGGCCAGACCTGTAACTGTGAATCTGAAGTATTACTATTATACAGTGTGACTGATTTGTTCTTACACACTATAGCATAAACTAACATTCTGAGTAAGATATAAGATTCCATTTTGTATTTGTCAGGTTTATTATTATTTTTTTATTATTATTATAAGTCAGCATTGAAAATGTTATTTTAGGGGCGCTGGTAGCCTAGTGGTTATTGTGCACGCCTCATGTACGGAGGCTATAGTTCTCCAGGCGGACGGCCTGGGTTCGAATATCACCTGTGACGCTTTTCCCGCATCTCATTCCCCACTCTCTCTCTCTCTCCCCCCATTTCTGACTCTATTCAC